CCCCCCCCCCACCCCATTCCTTTCGGACATCTCTTGATCCGCCCCTGGTATTCCTATCTAGAATAACAATTACTGTAGCTTGTTGTGGCCATTATATCCCATAGAGTAGGCCTATGATGGATGTGTTTATAATGAATAGCAATGACACATTTTCAAAATACAAATAAATGATATATAGGGCGGGATAGGAGATCTGAATCCACATGAAAATGAAAGAGAGTTTTTTAACAACAGGAATTCGGATTCTGCTGGAAGGTTGTTGGAGGAAGGGGGTGAAATCCCTAGCAAATTCGGCCGAAAGATAAAATCCTTGGCCATAATGCCAGTGAATTGACCGGAGAGGCTGAAATCCTTAGTAAATTCATTCCCTTGGGAAGAACTCTAGATAGAGGGAGCCAATGTCACCGGACTTTCTATAACTAATGGATTAGCAGGGTGGAGTGCAAATTCACCAGGAATTTCTGGCGGCCTCGACCAGGGCTAGAATTTACCGGTGGCCAAAATCCAATAAGACACCGGTATTTTGTCCATATCTATCCTAACTATGGAGGCCCATGTCAGATAGGTGTTTTTTTGCAAACTAGCTTGCATAAGGCCCCATAAAAAAATAATATAGACTAACCGTAACACTCAGAATCCAATTCCTAAAAACGCTGCTTTGTAAGCCTGCAGGAGGTATACAGTAGTCGATCTGTATTTGAAATGAAAACGTATCTTTGTTGCAGTCTCGGTTTTTCCCAGTTACAAATAGCGATCAGTCTCAATTCATTTTGTCGAGCTCGTTAGTGTGCATTTGGAAAATCCAATGAAGATACAGTAATAGACTTTTTTAAATTATGAATATTTAATATAATTATTGAATGCTTTAAATCCTCAATTTAGGTTGGCTAACATAACTGGTATTGATCAGTCATGAGCATGCACAATAACTCAATGTTTCCACTACTACAGTTTGTGTTCTCTTGAGACATGTGGCGGGAAAAGTACAGTAATCGGATTAATAGTGCCTACCAGTTTTCAAAATATAATTTTTCGATCATTAGCTGCTATAAATTACTCACACTATCGGGTGCAGTGATTGGAATATATATATATAGGCAAATAAGAGGTCTCTCATTAATTGTTTATACCACACATATAAAATATAAATTAATTAACGGTAAATATTACAATTAAAATTACATTTTCTCATTAACAAACGCAAAAGTAAAAGTATATATATAAACATATATATATATATATAATATATATAGAGAGAGATCTAACAAGATAGAAACGGTACTGTCTGTGGATTGGAATATATATATATAGGCAAATAAGAGGTCTCTCATTATTTGTTTATACCACACATATAAAATATAAATTAATTAACGGTAAATATTACAATTAAAATTACATTTTCTCATTAACAAACGCAAAAGTAAAAATATAACTCAGAAACGTTTACCAAAAAAATATCATATTTTAATAATTAAGTTCCCTTTTGTGTAGGTATGTTTATGTATTAGGCCTATGTAGGCTATAGAATTCATTATTTTTTTTAAATGCAGACTGAATCTACAGTATAAAGTAATTGTATCGTTTTCGCCGCCTGATTGTGTTGCGGCTATAAATATATCTGAAAATAAATGTTAAAAGTATAGAATGTATATATATATATATATATATATATATATATATAAATGTATATATACATATATATACTATACATATATATATATTATATATATCCTATACACATATATGTATATAGAGGCCTACTGTATATATACATATATATCCATATATATTATATATATACAGTATATATATACATATATTATATATGTTTATATATATATACTGTAAATATATATATATGTATGTATATAAATAAATAAATAAATAAATATAAATTTAAAAAAAAATGATTATATATATAAATTATATATTATTAAAGAATCTCTATTGAGATCCAGCGGGCCGCCATTGATGCACGGTAGAGATTGCATCTTTAGATCTCCGATCTTGTTCACAAATTCACGGACTAGTGCTGTCTCGTAAGAATTTCGTAGGACGCGTTAAGAATGACAAAATATTCTCTGTATCTACTGGAACCGAGCCACATAGCTTGTATTCCACTATTTGCATTCACACCTGGGCTCTGTAGGCCTATATATATTGCCTTGGTTTGGCTCTGTAATCATTAGTGGTCGTGGGACTAGTTTGGGCCCTACCTAAGCTGGTCGAACGTTTCGTTTGGGTCTATACCCTAAAAAAAAGGAAGAAAGAAAGAAAGAAAAAGAAAAAATTGATTCTAGAACACAAAAATGCCGCGATGCATTCCCCAGGAACCCCTAGTGTAGTATTACCTCCATTTTTCTCATGCGAAGTACTTTCAATTGCTTTTTTTAAATTTATTTCTTTGAGCAACTAGCCCTCCTTAAGATTTGATATTAGGCCTCCGCCTATTTTCAATTATCAGAAATTGTAGGTACAGATTATTGTAAAAAGATATTGTTAACTTTAGAGAAATGTCTTTAAACTACATATCTTCCTCTAATCAAAGACCCCTCGGCCTTCAATTAGAGACCACTTTCCTCTGGTCCCATGTTAACAAATGCCTGTTATCTTTATTATTCTAATTAGAGATGAGCTGCCAAAGGCCATGGAAACCCCGGTCCCAAAAATGGTCTTCGAGGGAGACCTGTATTATAGTTCGGTTGTCATTTAGAGGATAATGCAGGAACTCTTGGACGTGGAGTTGTCTTCCTGGACATCAATTTGTTTGATGATAATGCCGTAAGGTCTGACATCAAATACTTTTTTGGATTGATTTTCCATTGGTGATACCCAGTATTCAGCTCCTACCTCCGTCTGATCGGCTGGAATGACCTTCATGTGGCCACCAGCCTTGTCAGGATTAATTCGATTCTGCAAGGCGATCTTGTATCTTTTCCCTTCAAATTCAAAAATCTGAGCGTAGAATTCATCGACCATAGCCAAGGAAGGACTGCTGTAGACTCCTCTGATGTACTCACTTTCATGTCCCCTTTTGAACTTCCGCACAACTGCATCTTTCTCTCTCATCTTCGTTCCGTGATAGGAGACTGGCCATTCTCCCAACGTGGTCGTTTTTCGTATTCCATCTTTCCCAAGCCAAGTATTATCTCCGTAAACATTTTTAACAGTAACTGCGTACCTATACCAGCCACATGGACGATTGTAGCGATATCCCCCTCTCATGTAAACATCATTTTCATCATTCTTATTCGTAAAATCGTAATCGAATTTTCGTGCAAGTAAAGATGTATCCATTTCATAGAAACCTGATTTGCCGTCCTTCGTCAATTCAATCACATGGACTGTGCCACCATTTCGGATGCCTTCCATTGCAACTGTTTTCTCGTCTTCAAGGACTCTTCTATCAAACATGAATTGTATAGTTTCCGGCTTATAGCTCGTCATGCTCTTCATCTCCGAAATGGTCATGTTTGGCATAACACTGACCACTGTCGTTGTCCCGAACATACCTCGAATATTCACCTTGATTTCACCACTTGACGTCGTCTCAGGCATCTCTCTTGGCACCATGGCATGGGAGATGTGGAAGAGGTCATGGATGGTGAGCTTACGAGGAGTATCCAATGATCTGGATGCAGCTGTTCCTGGTGGCAGAACCTCTACCCCGAATGACGCAGAGAACCCAGCAGCTAACAACTCCAACGAACCCAAAGCAGACATCACACTGAAACAGATAAGGCAAGCTAATAATTATGAAAAGTAGAGGCCTAACTTGTTGTAGGCTATAACAAAACAACAGTGCAGATGTTTCCTTGCCATTCATGTTGATATTATCAGGGCCGCCAAGACGGGAAACTGTAACAGGGACAAGGGTTAGTGTGGGCCCCCAGTTACGAAGGAGAGGCACGAGAAAGATTGCGCCGAAGTGAACAATTTTTCTTTTTTTTTTTGGTAGGGGTGGTAAGCTCTGGCCCAGGTGATTCCCCTTCTCCCTCCCGGTTGCACTGATATTTATGTTTTGTGTATAGGCCTATTTATAAAATGAAATTTAAATAATTAACTTATTTTATAACAGTTTTATTGACTGAATGATTATCCGATTTTAACCAGCATTGAAAATCATGTACAGAAGACGGTGTGTTTGATGTCTATATACTGCATTTTATACTGTATAGCCTATACCTGTAAATACCATTAGTGCTACGCAACAACATTGATTTAATAATGTTACATCATTATATATATATATATATGTATATATATATATATATCTAAAAATGCGCTATATAAATTCATATGGTACCATATATATATATATATATTCGTATATCTCATTCGTTGAGAGCTATGCTACGCGATGTATTATTGTCCTTTATTAAAACACTGTATTTACCTTTCTTTGATGATTTATTATTATATATATATCATTATATGATATCATTTTAAACATTTAAGAAGAATCTGCGAGTTCGTGGAAAAATAGGTGCCACAATCGGAATTCGAACACGGGACATTCTGCTTGGGCCATCATGAGGCTTCGTTTGGAATTCAAATCCGACTGAACATCTGCTTATTCACACTCGTGCGAATGCATAGAGACAGCACAAGTCCTTAATGCATAACAAATAACAGAGATCAATGGATACGCCCTCTTCTTATAAGCATTTGACAAGACGAGATCTCAGAAGATGCTTTTTATAAATCATATGATAAGAGATAAACTCTAAACCGTCTTGCAGTAATACTATAAATATATATCTGTAAATAAATGTATATATATATATATATATATATATATATATATAAACTGTATATATAATCGACATATTTTCATGCATATGTACTTGTTCCTTTTTGTAAACATTTTTTAGCAAGACCTCCTTAAGATTTGATTTTAGGCCCCGCCTACATTCGACAATCAGAACTTGTAGGTACAGATTATTGTAAAGAGATATTAACTTTAAAAATGTCTTCCTACAGGTCTCCCCCTGATTAGAGACCCCTCGGTCTCCAATTAAAGACCACTTTTTGGTCCCATATTAACAAATGCCTTTTATCTTTATTTTTCTAATTAGGGATGATTTTACAAAGACCATGGAAACCCCGATCCCAATGGTCTTGAGAGACCTGTATTACTATAGTTCGGTTGTCATTTAGAGGATAATGCAGGAACGCTTGGACGTGGAGTTGTCTTCCTGGACATCAATTTGTTTGATGATAATGCCGTAAGGTCTGACATCAAATACTTTTTCAGATTGATTTTCCATTGGTGATACCCAGTATTCAGCTCCTACCTCCGTCTGATTGGCTGGAATGATTTTCATGCGGGCACCACCCTGATCAGGGTTGATTCTGTTCTGCAAAGCGATCTTGTATTTTTTTCCTTTGAATTCAAAAATCTGAGCGTAGAATTCATCGATGATAGCCAAGGAAGGACTACTGTAGACTCCTCTGATGTACTCGTTCGCATGTCCCTTTCTGAACTTCCGGATAACTGCATCTTTGTCTCTCATCTTCGTTCCATGATAGGAAACAGGCCATTCACCCGTCGTGGTTGTTTTCCGTATTCCATGTTTCCCAAGCCAATTGTTATCTCTGTAAACATCAGTAACAGCAACTGCGTACCTATACCAGCCACATGGACGATAATATCGATATTCCCCTCTCATGTAAACATCATTTCCATCCCTCTTATTCGTAAAATCGTAATCGAATTGTCGTGCAAGTAAAGATGTATCCATTTCATAGAAACCTGATTTGCCGTCCTTCGTCAAATCAATCATATAGACTGTGCCACCATTTCGGATGCCTTCCATTTCAACTGTCTTCTCGTCTTTCAAGGGTCTTCTATCAAATATGAATTTTAGATTTTCCGGATTCCGGCTCATCTGCCTTTTCATAACTGATATTTTCTGGTCTGGCTTAATTCTGACCACCGACGTTGTCCCAATCATGCTTCGAATATTCACTTCTATTTCACCACTTAGCGTCGTCTCCGGTATCTCTCTTGGCACCATGGCATGGGAGATGTGGAAGAGATCATGGATGGTGAGCTTATGAGGAGTATCCAATGATCTGGATGCTGCTGCTCCTGGTGGCAGAACCTCTACCCCGAATGACGCAGAGAATCCAGCAGCTAACAACTCCAACGAACCCAAAGCAGACATCACACTGAAACAGATTTTTTTGTTTTTTATTTAATGAAAATTAACATTACAGAGTTGTAGGGCCCGCCAATAGTTATGAAAAGTAGATAGGCCAAAGCTTTCTGTAGGCTATAACAAAACAGTGCAAATGTTTCCTTGCGATTTGTATTGATATTTATGGCCGCCCAAATGCAAATGTTGGTAAACAGGATTAGAGAGTGGGTATAAAACTAATGGACGGCAGCGGTCCCTGTTGGCGCAAAAAAGCTAAACCTGTCTGATCGGCATACACGGACGTCTTCCCCAGTTTTCCTACTGAAACTAAAGTCTGCAGTTTAAGTACTTACAATCCTTGAGGTTCAGCACGTTCGTCTGTAACGATCCACGGTAGGTAAAAATTTCAAAATGAGTAGGCCTACATAGGTTAAATTTAATTTCTGGGAATTTTCTAATAATAGGCCTGTACCATTGTGCCTACTGTACACAAAAAAAACAACTGTATCAACTATATAAACATGTTGATATCAGTTCAAGCCTATATTTAATCTATTTTCGATTATAGTCCAGTATAGGGTTATCTCAGACGAGTAATTTCACTGTAAATGTGGAACTACAACACATAGTTACCGTCAAATTGTGTTATTTTGTGATCATAAAAGACTTAATAATCCCAAAAAATTAGAAAAAATATTTACTGGAGTAGAACATTCACTGAATGCGTTGAGAATGATGTTGCTTCCATTAGATTTGTTTAAAGTCATTTATAGGCGTTTATTCGAATAAATACGGTATTTGATTTACTGATTGAATAAATGTTGCTTGATTCATTTATTGACTTGTACAGCATTGTAGTAATTATGATACTGTAAAATATATAATCAGTAATGTATTCACCACCAGAAATTTAACAGTAATTCAATAAAACACAGACGGTGCATCTTTCCAATATGTTATAGCCATCTATTTCAGACTTTCTTGTTTATTGAAAATCCAATCCAGTCTGCAAGTCGTAATAACAGGTACATAAATAATCTGCCTTCAATTTCCATTCTACTTTTTAACTTAGAAACAAATAAATGTTTTTAAAATTCATTTAACTATCAGTTTTAACATTTTAAACTAATATATTGTATATAGGTTATCAATTATTAAGTCGACACAGCAGATATGCATAGCAACAAAATAAAAATATAAACTAGCTACACTTAAAACCAAATAATAACAATTAGACTCCAACAAAACGGAATCACCATATACTGTATTTCAGTAAATAGATTTTGTCCAGGATGCTTAAGTGTTCCTTTAAAACACAGGTAGGCAAAGTGCGGCTCACGGCCGTCCACGAAAACAAATATCTAAAAACCTGTGTAAAGCCAGCCATCAGTAAAAGTAATATTATACCAAGCATATAGTGATAAAAATATGTTTTAACAAGCACAGGAAATGCCCAATTTTCACCATAAAACGCCAGAGTTTGTGTGCGGCCCACAGTGTTAAAACAAAAATTCACTTCGTCCCTTCCACACATTAATTTTTGCCAACACATGCATTTAAACGACCATCAGAAAATTATAATTCATATAAAATATTTTTCCTAAATATTACATGGAACTAGAGTTTAGGAATGAAAATATTTTCAGAAAATAACAAGAAAAATAGTTACTGATGAACACAATCAAAACAAAATTATAATATCCGGAAAATCTAAGCAGGGAGGCGCATTTTTAATGGTGGTATTGGATTAGAAGATTAAGACATGGAAGCGGTAGATATAGATAGGCCCTAGATGAATAAGATTTTTTGCAGTGTTCTCATTCCTCTAATCGTGTTTACACGCACACACTCTAAATGTTTTGTTCAGCTGTATTCATACACATGCTAGATGCCGAGTTCAGGTCTGTTCACACACATGACGTTGACTTCAGGGCTGTTCACACACGATGTTGTGTTCAGCCCTGTTCGTATGATAGATGCTGAGTCCATATCTGTTCACACACATGATGTTGACTTCAGGTCTGTTCACACACATGATGTTGACTTGAGGTCTGTTCATACGCTAGATGCTGAGTTCAGGTCTGCACACACACACATGATGTTGACTTAAATTCTATTCAAACACATGAAGTTGTGTTCAGCGCTGTTCATACGTTAGATGCTAAGCCCTACTCCTTGAATATTGTTGCTAAGGTCACACAAAATAATAGCGTAAATGACCGTAAACATGTGCATTTGTGGGAAAACATGTGAATCTGTAGGACACGCATGTATTCGTTACCGTTTTATGATTGCTCAATTGATAAGTTTGATTGGCACTTCAGAAAGGTCTATTTATGCCATCGTATACCACTTGTAATAACAATTAAAAACTTTTTTGCACAGACTCACATAAGATTTACTGTATATATATATATATAATAATAAATAAGTACATACTGTATCCTTTGATGCTTTGTATTAATACTAATAGGATGACAAAATATGTCGATAAGTATTGTCATTTATAGGTAACAATAATAGCATCCAGAATAGAAAGCACCAATGCCAATCCATATGTTATGATTTACATTTTCTTCCTGGTAACCCAGTCAACCCTTGTAAACAAACACAATGCACATTTATCACTTCACTTTATTGGTACAGACGTATTTCTTATACACCAAGGCTTTAACTGTTTGTATTTTGAGATTTCACCCATTCATTGTAGAGCTTCTCCTGTTGCTGATAGGCCTTGGCAAGTTTCTTAACTTGTTTACCACTCAAAGTTTCACCCTTTGTATCATGAGTTGGCATGCCCTAAAGAGTAGTAAAGAACAACAACATTATAAATAAATTATTAAAGAGTGCAAGTACAAAGGTTTTATCAAACCAAAAGTATGCAAAGAAAATACTTCAAAGTAAACAAGCATGGGAGATATTCCAAAGCTGAATGCATTTTGTACTTCCTTGTCCTGAGCATGGGCCTCCTACAGTATTTGAAAAATGTTATGTACATCTACGGCCTAATATCAATCAAAATGGCACAATATTATCTTTAAATGTTTAATTAGGAAGTTATTTTCTTTAAATTTTGGTCAGTTGTGGTGGATAAAACAACATCTTTTTTCTTAGCCTTAGGATGGTCTTGTAAATGAAGAGTGGATGTTTACTTGAAATCAGGCTTATAAATGAAGTTGGCAAATGATAGTATTATTCTGGAGTTAATTTTTATTATTATTACTACAGTATTATATAGGGGTTTGTCATGCCAAAACTAGAATCAGTGACCAAAACAATTTACTTTTCGATTATTCACATTCTGCACATTTTAAGCTATAAAATGATAGGTCATTTACTGAAATCGACTAATTATTGCCATAGTTATGAGTTAAGCTAATAAGGCCTCTACTGAAGTATACAATACTTGCACATTCTTATGCTAATTACTCAGCGACAGTACGCTGGTTTGGGGATGGCAAGCCTTAATTTGGGAAATCACTAAGTACCTTATCATCAAACTGTGAATATTTATCGGTTTCTTTCTTGAACATTTCTTGAGGAGGGATCCGTCTCTGGGCTTCTTTAGCAGCCTGTCTCTCTTCTTCCTTCCTCTTTGCTTCCTCTTTTTGTTTTCTTTTCTTTTCTGCTTCCTGTTGGATTGTTGAAATAATAATAACAATAATAAAAAAAAAATCTGCTAATGGAATTTAACTGGTACTGTTGGCACAAAACATAATAAAACAAAACATAATTATCATTCTATTTGAAAATAGAAGAGGGATAACAAAATACTTATAATGTTTGATGTTGAACCAAACACATTGGACATACTCTGCACGTACCAACTGTACTACAGTGGAAAGCTGGTTGTGCAATAGATGAGGCACCTTATTTTCCTATTTGATAATTCTATCTATATTTTAACAATGTAAACTGATTTATGATTGATCAAATATTTGAGGGAGTACATTTGTGGTTATCTCCCATGCATTTCAAGTATGTTTTATACAATTTGCATTTGACTCCGATCATGAAGTCTTAATCTTTTTTGCGTTTGTTTAATTAACTTTTAAATTTGACCACAGCTGTTTTTACTTACAGTATTAATAATTAAATTAAAATATAATCAGATGTAATGTTTATTTCAAGTCTATTCATTCTAGGATTTTTATATTCTTAAAGTGTCATACCTTTAACGCCATTTCTCTTTCTTTAAGAAGTGTCTCCCTGTCATCCAACTTAATTACTGCCGCATCGCCCTCTCGGTCTTCTAACCTTACTCCAAGTTCTGGTAAGACATCGTCTCGGAGACCATCGCAGAGTTTTAAAATGTCTGTCGCTGTTTCAAAACAAAAAGAAATTGTTAACTAACACTACGTTTTGTAATAGTTTCGCAATCTAGCAGATTGCAAAGATATTGTACAAGAATAGCTACAGCACATCAGAGTACAAACACTGCCACATATGACAGAAATAGTAGTAATAGCCCTAGAGCAAAATTATTTTGTTTGGCATTCTCCTAGGGTAATTTTAACCACTATAGTATCATTTACAAGAAAGATGGATGCTAGAAAAGCGAAATGAGAACTGCGAAACTTCCAGGGAGCATACTTAATACTGAGCCCATTGCGGACAGTCTCAAAACCTATTGCGAAGCCAATACAAATATACGAAGAACAGTATGATTCGACCACTGGTTAATTTACCCCTTGTCTTGGTCAAAATTAATCCATTGATAACACGGCAATAGTTAAGCAATCGCTTCTCACATATTTCTGTATTATCCTTTCCACTGATGATCTCTTCGTTGATGAAACTAAACATTAGGCAGATAATCAATCTGTTTCTCTATCACTCAAGATTTTGATATTACAGTAATATTTCACTATCACCCACTCACCTTTCTGTTCCCTTGCAATTTTTCGCACTTGTCCACGAAACTGGGATAAAGTTTCTAAATATGGCATAACAACCTCCTCTACCTGTACAAAAGAAAAAAAAAATGTGTATTTTTTCATATCCAAACTATTGTAACTATATCCATAGGTCAATCCATGTCCTCAAGTGTGTAGGAATGCATTAGAAACCAAAGACAAGTGATTGACTAAAGCCCTGTCTACACTATCAAATTTTATTTGACGAAAACATGTGACAACATGCCTAAATATGATCATGATGACATCACATCATGACCATATATAGGCACATCATGACTATATATGGGCATACAAACGTTTTTTGTCAAAGAACATTTGATAGTCTGGACATAGATTAAACAAAAAAAAATGGACCAAGCAGGCCCATTCTCAATACTATTCTGGATGGAGCATCCTGAAGGCAGGTGATCTGAAGGGGTCCTGCTGAAGGGGTGCCAAAGATGGGGTTATGTCTGTTCAGCTGATCCATCTCTGGCTCAGTCTAAATTATCTCAATAATTAATCATTTGGCTATTTATACGGATCACATTATCATCTGAATAAGATTTTACATTTTATTTTTTTCGGGTGCAACTATGGCCTAAAGTCCCCAGAGTATGGATGGATGGATTTTTTCGGTGTAAAAACCAAGAATAACCCACGAAAGTCTGAAGAAGACTTATTTTCAGTGCGGTCTTTCTGGCGGTGATTGGGCAGTACACCGGGAGACAGTCACCTACTCTTTTCCGAATAGTGTACTGCATTTGTTAACATACATTTGGGCATTATGCACACGAGACTAAACGGCTTAAACGTCTCATCCGAAAGACCGTGCACAATCAAAACTTGTATTTCAGCCCTCCAGCTGAAACAAAAGGAGAGCAGCGATGGGAATTGAACCTGAGACCTAGAGATCTCAATGGTTCAGTGCACACGCAGTGGCTACCACCGGTTTAGCCAAGAAAACCCAAAGAAAACTGAATATTATTATGTATATCATTGTTCTACGACCATGCAAGTCTTTATGCAGTGTGTAAATAAACTTATGGTGTAGTTTAGCTTCTCATACTGTACTCCCAACTCACTTTAAACTAAATAATTTTTTACGACAATATGGTATTTACATTTGCATTTTGTGATCCACCAGCGATAGGGAAACCTATAGACTCATCCTCAGATATTGCACCAAAAACCTGAAAAAAAAATGCATATAAAATAATTATCTTATATACTGTATCTAATTCAATCACATAGCAGTATCTGGCTACAATAAATGATGAACCAGAATCTATAGCTTCACCACAGAGCTATTACAAATGCTATTGATGATTAAAAGAGTGTATCAAATACTAATATACCAATGAGTTGTTTACTCCCAATCAAAAACTGTAAAAGAAAATTTTTTAAGCAAATAGGCATTTATATTGCACCTTTCGCCAAAGATGTTAGTTTAAGTATTTTCTGAAGACAACCAAATTGTTGGCATGATGAATTGAAATAGGGAGGTCATTATAGACTTGAAGCAATGCCAGATAAAATTTTAAAAATATGTATATATAATCTCAATATTTAGCAACAAAATGAAACTTAAAATGCAAACAAGCAAACTAGATTAAAAAGCAAAAAAAAAAAAAAAAACCACAAATTTCTTAAATACCAATCTTTAAAAAGTTATTTTTTCGGAATGTTCCTGACCTTTAGTAGCCTGGTTAGATACTTGGCTATGCCTTCAAGAAGTTTCCTGTTGGGCACCTGTTTAGATGTCTGCTTAGCTTGCATATATATGTTACAGTGCGTTACCAAAATACGCATCCCTTCTAAAGCCGACCGAGTATCAATTGAATCGCATAGAGACTGATGGATCTTGGCCTTGCCCTGATAATACCTTAACACAAAAAATAAGAATGATATTAGGGGTCAACATTTTCACAAGTGTAAAAACAGTACTTTTATATATGCATGAAAATGTTGATTCAAAATAACATGAACATAGATTTTTATGACCAATTATAATGCGTCCATGGATATAATAGACATTAGACCAAGAACAGTACTTTAGTTGACTTCACCAAAAAAATGGAGAAGGTTTTGCAAAATCAACATTATTTTTTATGTATACTTTCAGAGGGGAGAGGGGGAACAGAAAAAGAGTACTGTTTGTACGCTTGTGAAAAAGTTGATAATTGTGCGGCCGTCCCGAGGCAAAACAACGTTACTGACATTTTTGTCGATTTTTAAATAATATTATTTAGGAGTACATTAAATACGTCTGAATTACCTGAGAAAATTTCAGGTCTCGACAATGAGTTGTTTCGGAGATAGCACCACCTATCCTTAAGCACAAAACTTAAAATATAGTGATTTTCCATGGTAAAACAATGTAACTACAAGATTACGCGGCAAAACAACGTATCTACGATGAAGATACGTTGTTTTTCCTCGGAATGGTATTCAAAAATTGTTTTGAGCTGATGGAGTTTGGCAAGGCGAAATCAACTGGTTATTGGTGTTTCCATATCAATAATCTACAAGCTAAATGCATATGATTGCCCCTAAACGTGATAAATTCCAAAAATATGTCCCATTTGCAACAACACCGAGTTTGACATGTTTCCGAGGCAAAACAACGTATCTGTGAATATCGCTAATAACTTTGCAATAAAGAAATGGTTGTAATTAAAATTTTACATATAATCACAATATATATAGATAAACAATCCTGCAAAATTTCAAAAGGGTATGACAATTTATTACCAAGTTGCAAACATGAAAACTTTAACTATATTTTTCTTCAAAAGTGAAACTTTACAGAGAACAAACGTGTGGAAATTAAACCTATACTTTTATAGTATTGCTTATGTCACCTGCTTGTGAAAAACGTTATGAACTTGTAAATTATCGGCTCATAAATGTTTTAATTATATAAAAAGGTCTTTCATTTACAATGTAGGTAAATGAATTAAGGTATAATAAAACTATATTTATGATAACTGATCCATTTAAAACACATATAACTTACACCATAATCCTGTATGGTATTTCACATTTTTGTGCATGACAATTATTGACCGGTCTTCTATAAATTAAGGTACTGACAGGTCGAAAGGCAGTCAAAGCTTTACGTGAGATAATTAGGGCCTAAACCACAGGAATAAGCTTTCATGAACAAATGAAAATCAGCCAATTATATTTATAAACGATTTAGAAATATTTTAAACTGTAATCAGACATTTAATGACTGTAAGTGTTTTAAACAATCTGAACTCAATAAAAAAAAACAAAAAAAAAAGATAAAGTTGGGACATTTACCACCAAAGCATTACTTGAATATTTAAACTTGTGGCTTTGGCAGTAAAAGATCCAACATCAATCATGATAATTGATGGACTTATTTGAAATAGTAACAGAACAAAATTAATCACTTTCTGATTTATGTTAATCATAAAAATGTTTTTCACAAACCGATTGTGATAAATAAAGAGTAATAAAAGTGGGCCATTGTTTGAATATTTCACCTTTTGACTCTTGTACTAAAAGATTCTCTCTTGAGAGGAGAGCCATCCTTCCATTAATTGACTAATGTTCTACATCATCTATGTAATGATTGACTAACAGATTGTTTCTACCAAAAAAAAAAACAAAAAAAAAAAAGATTGAAACGATTGGATGTATTCGGTGTGAACAATAGAGATGAACTACGAATGTTCAAAGACCTATTTTGAGTGGGGTCCTTCTGGTGGTGAATTGGCCAGCACACCAGGGACAATCCCCCTACTCGGTTCAGAATGTACTACATACCTTAACGTGTACATGGGCCATATTTCACACACAAAAAGACTACTTAAACATGTCTTCTAGAGTGATTTTTTTAATGTTTGCATTTCAGCCTTCCATCCACATAAAAAAACAGGAGAGCAGCACACAAAATTGAGCCAAGGGTTAACAATGGATCTCTCTATGGTTGCACACAGAGTGCCTACCACCAGTACTGGTGACTCAAAGCTGCCCTCTATAGGGCCTAATAATATATATTTTTAACAGTTTGAAAAAAAAATGGATTGTAAAAGTTGTAAATATTGAGATATATACCAGTCAAAGCATTGTTTTAATATCCTTACCTGTGAATTTTTTCCGAAAGTTTCCGTAATGATACTGGTCAGACAGCTTTCTTAATGAGTTACATTATTAAAATGATGATTTATTGATTGATTAATTAATAAATTGCCTAACTTGAAATAGACAGACTAATTGCTTATGTTAATTAGTTGAGTATATATACTATTTAATTGCTTACTTTCTTTATTTAATAAGTGAATTAGATTTCAATTGACAATAAGAGGAAATAGTATGTTTTTCATTAGCAATGAAAAATGTATAATAATATAAACAATCTGTAAATCAGTAAAACCTGACTTTTGACAAAAAAACTGTTGTATGCCCATATATAGTCATGATGTGCCTATATATGGTCAAGATGTGATCTCACTATGATTATATTTAGGCATTTCACACATTTTTCTCAAATAAAATTTGATAGGCTGGGCTTCATTAAAAAGATAATAAACTCATTTTATCTATAATTGTGCTATAGGGGATTTCAATAATTTAACTTACTGATCATTCAGTTTAATTTCTTCTTCATTCCATTTTGTGAACGCTCCTGGTCCTGACGATGGACTTGCTCGTAATACATGCTTCACATTTAGGAAAAACTCCTGAAATATTGCAAAAAAAATGAAATAAATATATCAAAAAATGTTTATGCTATTCCTGTATCTTCTTATTGCATTATGATTATCATAAATTTATAATATTTATAGTGTACGCATACCTATGATGTAATTAGGTCGAACAGCAGCGTAAACCAGTGGTGTCACCAGACCTTCCCTAATAGGGGGAGGTGGGGCTAGAAGGGGAGTGAAGCACACTGACATTTTTGGCTTTAGTGTTGTAGTTGATTAACAGAAACATTTGATTAGATTCCAGAATGGGGCAGTTGACTCTCAGTGAATTACAGGAAAAACTTTACTTAGGCTGCCCCTGACCAAAATTTGTTGTATGAACCTATTGCAAATGCGCATTGCTCAAATAAATGAATGAAATAAATAGTTTCCAAACAAATTAGCCTTTATGTAATCAAGAATTTGTGAGTTAACGCCACTTTAAATAACATGTTTATTTTATCAATAACAACTCCCTACAAATTTAGTTTCTTTGCTCACCACACACTTATGGCAAAATCACAGAACACCTAACTAAGAGCTCGCAACATATTCATTGAGAAAACAAATAGATATCAATATATGAAAATGCATGACAAGAACCTCAGTGGTCGTCTTGTTAAGATACCTAGTTAGCTATCTGGATGTCGTAGGTTCGATTCCAACCCAAATCACTTGCAAAATTTATTTTGCAAGCATTTGGGAACATGCTAAGCATTCAGTATGATAACACGTCACGTAGGGCAAACATCATTTCGTATTATTTCTCCGGACACACAAACGCCATCAAAAAAGAACCTTAAAAAAACATCCTCTATACTCACATGGATCATTTTCTCATAGGCTTTGGCAACTTCCATTGTGGATGTGGAGTAGTCCAAGGTATCCTTCCAGGAATGCAACAAGAACATGAGACGTATTTGTCGAGCCGAGTGTTGTTTGAGCGCGTCCCTGATCGTGATGAAATTCTTCAATGATTTTGACATTTTGCAGCCTTCAATGGTCAAGTGTCCAGCATGCAAAAAGTATTTGACCCAGTCATCATTGTTGTAGTATGCCTTTGAGGAAAAAAAATTACAAAAAATTAGAATTTAAGGGCACTTATTGTGTACTAAACAGGTGGGCAAAGTGCGGCCCCCTCATGCTGCATGCAGCCCGACAGTGATTTTTCTGTGGCTGGTGAAAATGAATTAAACACCCTATGCTTGCGGCCCGCCAACCATCTTTTGCAAACAAACACTTTGTTTTTTACGGCCAGACACCGATTGTCTGTAAAATGTAAAACTGAGCATAAAGCGGTATATAAACAGGGTATAAAGGTTTTGGAAGCATAATGGAAACATCAAAAATTGGGTGTGGCCTTTGGTGTTAAAAATTCACATTGGCTCTCTGACACATTTTTATGCCCACCCCTGGTGTACTCATATAACTCATATAATGTGTTGGTTTACCTCAGCTTGGGCTAACTCGTTGTCATGATGAGGAAACTTCAAATCTACTCCACCTGTGTGAATATCCATTGATTCCTCCAATATAGAGCTTGCCATAACTGAACATTCGATATGCCAACCAGGCCGACCCTAGTGATTTAAAGTACACAAATAGATAGAATATTTAAATTGATTTTTTTTCAAACTCAATCACTTATGACGACTCTCCTATATAAATTGAAATCAACCTGTCATTATATAAAAAAAAATCATTTATGTGTACATAGTTACGTCACAATACCATGTGGTACTACTCCGTTGCTTTCGTTGCAAAATGAATTCAATCAGACGCCATTTTCTCCACTGACAAACCATGATCCCGATTTCTAACGTAATTAAGATGTTGTATCTTACTTTTTCCTTGTAAATTTTAATTGATGATTAAATGTGTGTTCCATAACTAATATAATGTGAGCTTTTGTGTTTTTAGTACATTTTGATGGTAAAATATTAGATTTTAAAATGCCTATGCCAAAAAGCCTATGAAGTCATTCAGGCGTAATAAACGGTAACCTACGTCTGTTGACAACAAAGGGCACAACCTGGCGTCGTGACGACACGACCGTGGTACCTATACCATGACATTTATTTGGTAATTTGTGATAGAGGAAAAATACATTTTAAGGGATGATCGCAAGTGCTGATAACTGTGTTAAAATGACATGTACTTGCCAACTAGTGGCGGTGCCAGTGGAAGAATAAGGGGCTATATCCCCAGTCAGTCGAGTCGTACAGGCCACGCTCCTTGTTTGTCGTGACTCGTATATTGTATACCCACCAACCCACTACCGTACCAAGATGACTTGCATCAAGACTGCAATATAGCATGGCGAGTTGAATGGCCGAGCGGTTAATGCAAGGCGTCACAGCCTACGGCCGTAATATCGGTACTGGTTCGAATGGCATACTCGCCTATGGTTCTGGTACTGTAGTAGAACAAGTCTTCTCAGATAAGGGCTATAAACTGACGGCCCAGTTTACACAATTGGCTCATGTACACTATAAAGAACCCTGTACATCTTTCCAGACGAGTTGGGGGGGGGGGGCTTACACTAGGGTACTATTCCGTCTCACAGCCCCTGCCATTGTGAACTCATCCAGATGCTGAACAGACGTTGATGAGTAACTGAATAGAATTAAAATGAGCTACTTTGGAGGCTGGGGTATCTACATATGGCTTGACTCACCAAAATCAAACCCTATTCAGGTTTTATTTTGGAATAATAACTGTACAAACCTTGCCCCAAGGTGAGTCCCATGACGGTTCCCCTGGTTTTGACGCTTTCCAAAGAGCAAAATCACTGTCGGAACGCTTCTCACTTAGACGGTCTTGAGATATGCTAAGGTCACCCTCGCCCTCTTGTAATGCTGTGCTGTCGCCGTACGCTTCTGGTACGAGCTTAGCATAGTGGTGTCCATTAGTTTCATCAAATGTACTCGTTGCAAAATATACGGAACCATTTGAGGGGTAGCTATAATAAAAAATGTTTTATTCAAAAATCAGTATAACAAATTATTTTTTCTTTAGAAAATGAGGCAATAAGGGTAATTAATAGCAGACCTTTAGAGGTTTTGTAGGAGCAAATTTAGGGGGAAAATGTTTTATTCAAAAGTCATTATAAAAATTTATCTTTTCTTTATAAAATGAGGCAATAATGGTATTAAGTAGCAGACTTCTTGAGATTTTTAAAAGTCAGGAGCAAATTTAGGGGGAGAACCACCCAGCGTGCCCTACAATTTTTTTTTTATTTCAAAAACACCAAAATTAGTTTTAAAAAAACAAGACTAAGAGTGCCATTTCAGACCATTAAGAGGTGCCACAGACATTAAGTTGTCTAATAATATTTTTATTTTCTTTTCTTACATTAATTCAATTCAGTTGGGAGTTTTTATCTACTTTTATTTTTTTATAATAAATTTTGTGGTATAATTTTAATGGCAAACAGAAAATTGGTATTGTATCATTGCATTTTTTTTATAGAAATAATTTTAAAATTGCTACAACTATATTGGGTTTTATTTTAGTTGTATAATTGATTTTAAATAAGAATAACTTACGCATATCCATTTGCAATGATTTTCTCAATGTACTCGACAACCTCTGGAACATATTCACTGACCCTAGTAAGAACATCTGCTGGAAGAACCTATTTGAAAAACGTGAATCAGAAACTAAATGTATATTTTGACATATTCCTTATTAACTTTTAATTTATTTTCATTTCATTTACCTTTTCCAACACTACTTGGAGTAAAGTGAGCTGTTTTCTTGGCCCCTGTGCCCCAACAGTCACAGTGCAGCACCAGGACCAAAATATACAGTAACTGACACGTTGCCCCTTATCCTGCCTAACTCTCGGGTGAGGAGGTGAGTGAGCAGACTCCATGTAAAACCCATCAAAAAACATAAGAGTCAATTTTTGAGGCTATAAAACCAGTTCAAATCAACAAGGAATATGCAGAGGTGGATCCAGGATTTCTTGTTAAGCTGATACCAATTAATTTCAGATGGTTTGAATCAGCCCCACTATGGAAGTATATTTATTCGGTGTAAACACCAAGGATACCCACGAAAGATATATTTCCTGTGGGGTCCTTCTGGTGGTGATTGGGTGGTACACCGGGAGACAATCCCTACCCTTTTCCGAAGTGTGTACTGCGTTCTTTAACGTGCACATGGGTTATAATGCACATGGGACCAATGGCTTAAACGTCTTATCTCAAAGACGGTGCGCTATCGCAACTTGCATTTCAGCCCTCCAGCTGAAATAAAAGGAGAACAGCGATAGGAATTAAACTGGGGACAAAGAGATGTCCACACAGTGGCTACCACAAGGTTAGCCGACTGAGCGACGCTGCTCCCAGTATAATCCCATCATGATGCGGAGGTGATTGATAAACTAATTTTCAGAGTGCTTCAAAAAAAGTTTGAATTTAGGCCGTTATTACCAGGCTATTTTTTCTGTCATAAAAAACATACATGTTGATAAAATTTGAGGTGTAGCACTCTAAATCTTCCTCTGCTTTGCTTTAGCATTTTATTTTTTTACTAGATTTTGCGGGTCAACTTACATTCAAGTCTTCCATGTCTTGATGATACTCGGCCTCAAAATGTTGAGGTAATTTGCTAAAAATAGAATTGTCCACCACACTGCTCCCAAACTTTCCATCTAACCACTCGGATAGTGGGTCTTTAGCATCTTGCAAAAGTTGCTATTAAAAGGACGACATCCGAGTCATTTCATTGCAAATAAATATAATTTCTGGCAATTTTATTTGATTAATAAAAAAATATATATCTCATGAGAAAATTTACAATACATCATACATAAAAAGTATTTGTTTATCTGTTTACATTATAAATTCATATTATGTGACAAATATGTGTGATTTGCCCATATGGATATGATGTCATATCACACCCATATGGACATGATGATGTAATATCACTATCTTATAGGCAAGATGATGCAACAAACAACCTCTGTTCACATTATAAATTCATATTATGTGACAAATATATGTGATTTTCCCATATATGCATATGATTATTTCATATCACACACATGGAGGCATAATGATGTAATATCACTATTTTTGTGACAAAATTTGTGATTATCCCATATATTTGTGATTATCCCATATATGGATATGATGATGACATATTACACACATCTTTGCATGATGATATAATATCACTATCTTATATGGGCAAGATGATGTAAACAAACAACTCTTAAGCTCTGTTTACATTATGTGACAAACATGAACATGGACTGCACAATGCACTTATCAACTATTAAAATGCACTGAGCAGAAACTTACTGTTTTCATTACTTGCAGTTCATCAGCTTTAGTCTGCCCGTTGACCCCTTCACTGAGCGCATTCTGTGACCCTAACACCTGATTGATGATCTTTTGTTGCATCACTTTCTTGTCAGCATTTGTTTCATTGCCACATTTTTCTTTGAATTTCTATTAAAAAAAAAGTCAGAGTCATAGTTGTAATGACATCTTTTAATCTTCTTGTGTTTTAGTATATTTTATGGATAAAAAATGCTTTGTTTTTTTATGCAGGATAAACTGAACAATAATTTAGTATTGCTTTTTATAAAATATGTTGCAGAAAAATTTTTGAAACAATGAATCAAGTGTAATAAATGGAAGTCAACCACCAATAGTGCTACTGTATTCTGTAACTTTGGCTCTGCAAATCTGAATGATATATTACCCAGCCAAGTACATTAGTGGGTAACATTGAAGATGGTATGATCAGATATAGAACAGAGACAAGAATCTGCTTGTCAATTATACAGATGGAAAGGACTGATAGCGGTATACTTAAACATGGTGGATTTGCTTTAAACATAACAACAGTATCTTAATATGTATTCAATATACAATGCTAGAGAGGACTTGCACATTACAAACTTATCCTCACCACTGTCTGGTACAAGGCCATCCAACATTGATAACCAAATTTGGCCGATTTTAGAGGGTGGGTTCTTCTACCCGAGCAAGTCTACGGATGGCCAATTAACGGCAAATTTTCAACACTGCACGCCAAAGTTAAAGGCAATTAAGTTTTTAAGTGAGTTAATTACGTTACTCGCTCAAACTCTACCTCCAGGGAAAAAGTTGTACAGGCGGTGGACTTACACCACAGGAGCTACTGTACTATTACCTTTAACTTGTTGTGGTCATATTTTGTTACAAACATTTCTGCACATGTAAAAAATTGATAGGACTGATACATGACATACCACCATGGCCTCGTCTAGGTCCCTCAGAATTTGTTCAATATTGGTTGTCTTGCCAACGTAATCTTCAAACAGGTATGTTGTCCGTGCCCTTTTGATGATTTTATCATCAATATCTGTGATGTTCATGCAGTAGAAAACATCATATCCAAAATAGTCAGAGAGAATGCGACGCATGATATCGAAGGAGATATACGACCTGAAAATGCAAATTTATAAGCTATTAATACAGTAACTACGGAGCTCTATACCTGAGGTCAATGATGTTTGAAAAACATCTTTTTAATATTAATTGATGCAAGTATTTGGGCTTTTCTGATTAGTAAATAATAAATAGCATAATAAATAAAATAAAATAATAATTACTGTAATTAATAAATAAAAATTGATGGAATTCAATATTGACAGAGCCTAAGCTTGGTTTCCATACAATCGCTACACGCTATCACCAACAGCTTTCGGTGATGCTGATTGGTTAATCGATTCTGGGAACCTTCCCAGTTGCATCGGCGACTGCTACGCAGTACAATGATTCCGCTGAAGAAAGTGTAGCGATAACAGTGTAGCAATTGTATGGAAACCACGCTTTACTTAATGCCCATTTATGGTGGTCATCTTTTTATCTACAGGTATTGGAAAAGTAAAGGCATATTAGCTACCTGGCATGACCCATGTGGGATGAGTCGTACACCGTTGGACCACAGCTGTACCATTTCACTGTATTCCCATTCATCGGGATAAACGGTTCCTTTTTTCTGGTCAAACTGTTGAAGAGCATAAGCTGTGGTGCACTCTTCCCAGATGGTAGGGACCACGCTGGTTGGCATCTCTTCTTTCCTGAAACAATTGTTGTAAAGTTACAATAACATAGTATGTTTCACAAACATACATATAAATAGACAGTTTTATGATGCATAAAATTTCTTGCGGTAGCATAAGATAGGCCTAGTTAAGCATGACACAATTAAATACAAACTTGTATATAAAAAATACAAACAATAACACAAAAACTACTAATTCTCCAGCAACATAAAAATACTTTATTTGCACAACCACGAATGCCAAGCTATCCACCCAAACCACACTTTTCAGAGAAAACACCATCCGCCCAAGCTATTATTATTCTACCAACATCCAATCACAGCGCGTCTCAGCAGCAGCCAAATTCTAGAGCCTCCATCAGCTTTATAAGGCCGGCACCATTCTTCCACTGAAGACGGTTAGAGTATACTAAATGAAATTTTGGGACATTACAATCCAAATGGTTCTTCTCAAAACCAAGATACCATCAATGAAATTGGAATTTGTAGCATTATGACATATATAACCTATAATAATGTATTAATTCAAACCTTCAAGTCTTATAAAGAACTTTATTTGAGCCAAATCGAGCCACTGGTGACGGTTTTATAAACATTTGAGTTACCTAAGAGTAGCAAGTTGCATGTTAAGATTTCTGTCACTTTTTACTATGTATTTCTGTTAATTGTTAAAACTGATAAAAAATAGTGTACATATTGACTATAAACTTTTACTGTAAAATACTTAAAAAAAAAAAAATTAATAAGTGAAATTTAAAAAATAATTTAATATTTTCAGACATAAGAAAATGATTTATACTATTTAAGTTAGAAATAATTCATGAAAAATATTTTGTGAAACTTCAGATGGGCACCCAACTAATTTACACATTAACAGAAGAAAAACAGGAAACAAAGAGCACTGTGACAAAAATTTGCTCGTTAGTTCTTTTTATTACAATTACCGGACACCATCCCGGTATTTTAAGTGAAGGTTTCTGGTCATAAATGTACTTTTAATTAAAGTTGTCAATAACCAGACCACGCGCAGCGAACACGCTCAACTCAGGAAGGAGGTAAAGGTCGAGTTGTTATTCGACACAAGAAGCGAACTGTCTGAAATCTCGATAAACGTGTTAGTGGGGCGTTCGAACTGGTGGCTGCCTAGACGCGAAACGCGTCTTTAAAAAAATAGTCTGTATTTATATTGACAGAAACTCGAAAAACGCATAGGTGTTGCGTTCGAATCGGTGATAGCCTAGACGTGACGCGAAAGTTTTTTATCTTCTACATAATAATAAATACAACCTAGTAGCAGCCAGGAGACCTACGTTGGCCTATACATCGGCTGAATAAGCTAGCGGAAAGGGGATGTAAAATGTCTTTAAAAAAAAATGATTTACTCATTATGTAGGTTAAATTTTAGGCCAAAATATTGTCGTCAGCTTAGCTAGGCCTTACTTGTTTGAGGTGAAAAGGAAAACTTTCTTGTGTTGTAGAGGCTAGCACTTTTAGTCAAAAAAGGGCACTTCAGGAAAAAGGGGGGTTCGTTCGGACCCTACGAACCCCCCTGGCTACGGGCTTGGTGACATGGCTTCGTATCTGTGATGGCAGGATTAAATATGTATTTACTTAAATTATTAATTAAGGTATATTTATCCAATCTTCAATATGACAAAAATGCATACATAGCAGCAACAAGGCTGAGTTGCTTATGGATGCAGAAGTAAAAATATTAAAAAAGCAGAAAAATGGCAACCCAAAGAAAAAAAAAAAAACCATCTTAGCAAAAAAATCATCTTAGATGGCACATGCATATCGTTGGTCGATATGCATAATCTAGCAATAATCTCAAAATTCTCCCAAAATTAGCTTATGTTTAATATCCACTTTAATCCTTGATATTAAATACTTTTTTAAACCTGAAAATATATTTTATAACACTTTAAGCAACATTTAGTTAATTTTCAAACACATAATAATTTATATCAAAACTATTGCAATTTATGTTATGTGTTGCACTTTTGTTAAGATCATGTATACAGTGGCCAATCTATAGCTGATCGTCAGTTTTGTTAAGTAAAAAATGCTATTAAGAGGCATCGCATTTATTACAATCATATTACTATAGGCAAAAAAACTCTTTGATACATAAACTAACTTAAATATGGCAACAAATTGAAAAATAATACTCAAAATTCTGTAAAAAGCAACGTATTTTACTGTAATTTATATAAAGCTGAAAATATCGTAATAATTATGGCGACCGATCTTGGAAAATTTTTTAATGGTAACGACTTCAACTCCCGAGTGACCTGAAAAAATTTCCAAACCAATCAAAAGGCATTTTTAATTAATAAATTATTTATAAGCTTTTCGTTCACACTGTAAACACGCTCAGTTCCGGTTAATTGACACAAGAATAGTGAGTGACGTCATCATCCACCATAGCGTGCTCCCAGTGGCTACTACGACTATAGCCGGCTAGCTAGTAATACTAAAGGCCTACCTGCTATTTACTACTCAAACTCTATACCTAAGGCTAAGTAGGCCTAGGTCTAGCCTAAACATATAGGCCTAGGTCTTCTCTTATATACGCCCCAAGTCAACGCAGGCCTATTCTAAACTATAGGTCTCCCCATGAAGTTATAATTAAAACTCCATGGTCTCCCTGTCCCTCTAGTCTATCTAGGCCTAGTCGGGCTAGGGAACGGCCTTGCTTAGTGAGGTGGGACTGTACACCGGCATGACCAGTTGAAGGCCTTGTCCACCCTAGCCTAGGCTATAGTATAGACTAGCCCCTAGCTAGAGCTCGGCTAGGCCCCCACTAGGCCTAAGCCCAATCTGGCCGATCACCATCTGGCCTGGGGGTAGGGCCTAGCTAGGCCCCACCTAGATAGATAGGCCTAGCTAGGCCCCTATGTTATGCCTAAGCCACCTAACCTATTATTAACTCAGTTATTAGAATACTATGGAAAAGTAACAAAATCTATATTTACCATCTGACATGTTTATACACTAAGTAAAACAAATTAATGCACCGAATGAATCCTTTATTTTGGGGAAGAAAGAGGATGGACTTTCCCTTGGTCCCGTTGTTGTTGATGCAATCAGATGTAAACCAACGTGGACAAGTGTAGGGTCAAAGTTTATAAAACTAATGATGCATATCCTTAGCATAATAAAGTTAAGTAATGCATCATTGGGCAGTTCACAATGGTCATGGATATTCATAAGGAACAAAACTCTCTCTCAGGGGAAAAAAAAACTTGCGACATTTTACGGTGTTTTTTTATTCATGTATGGATGTATGGGGTGCCATACGCAGCAAAAGTCCATGTTAAAATCAAAATGTAATTGCAAAATTCAATGTCTGATTTATCAAAACGTAGGCGTAAATTTCTCAAAATGTAGATCTAGTTTCCCAAAATGA